ACACTGAACTTGCTTCTCACACATGATCATGCTTGACGTATTGAGCAAATGACTTGCAGTTGACCTCATGACACGCAGGCCTCTGCCCTCATTCTTCTATAACTCACTGCGCATGCTCCATTTGAAGCTTTTTAGAAATGGAAATGCCACCTAAAGGCTCTTTAAAAATGGATTGAGCTAAATTAAAGTAAAAATTCTCCAGATCTGTTCTGATGAAAAAACAAACTCATCTACATCTTTGATGACCTGAGCGTGAGTAAATTTTCAGCAAACTTTCATTTTAGGGTGTACCATACATTTAACAATCCGGTAGATGATGAGTTATTTCTATTTTCTCTACTTGATTCAGAGCTAGAAACCTGAATGCTCTTGATTTGAACGGTTTCCAACCTTTTTGAATCCAAGAACCACTGTTCTTGGGAAATAATCTTGTGTCCATACATGACCATTAATGCATTTTAGTGTTTGAAAATGTTTATGCAAACATTCTGACAGAAAATGTGAGCTAGTAAAACAGACATGATTTGCATGATTTCCTTGCTTTGATATTTGTCCTTGACAAATATTATACTCATGGATTTAGCCGATATGTTACTGTCACGTGTAGTGCTATTTAAAGCACACAACGAAGGAGTATAATCCAAAAATAGTCTTTTAATTATAAATCCACAAGGAATACACACAGGAGAATCGCAGGAACAAACGTAGCACACACAATGGTAAAGAAAAAAACCAGCAGCGACTGAACAGTGTGGAGTCTAAAGAATGAGTGACTGTTGCAGATCATAAGTAACCATAGAAACAAATCAGGACCAATTAGAAAAAGGGGAAAGGAACTAAACAAGGCGGGAGAACAGAAACAGAGAAACACAACCAAAAGTCCATTAATGTGACAGTAGCTCCCCCTCTCTGAAGGTGCAGCCTTTCGCCGCAAAGAGTCCATCTGAGGTGGGAGGGAGGGGGCTCTGGAGGAGGACATGCAGGGCAGGGAACCAGGGGAGAAGGTGGATGGAGAGACCAGGGTGGAGCTGACTGTGGGAGGAGCCAGGTGGAGATCCAGGGAACAGCCAGGACTGAGGCCTATGGTGGAGTCGAGGGACGGAGGAGCCATGGTGGAGAAGGCCTTAACGACACCATGTGGACGAGCGATGGAGATGGAGCCACTGGAGGTGGAGACTCAGGTGGAGCAGAGCAGATGAAGAGCCAGGGTGACTCCAGAGGGCCGCGGCAGAGCTGTCAGTCATGCGAGTGAGGCAGAAACAGGGACCCGTTAGGCCGCAGCAGAGCTGAAGCGACTGTGGACAATATTGGAGCTGGAGGGAAGGAGCCATGAAGGATGGAGGGACGAAGCGAAGCCGGAGGAGTGGAATCCCGTAGAGGAGGAAGGTCGATGACTGACCAAGACAGAGCCGGAGGGATGAGGGAGTCCAGTGGAGCCAATGGGATGATGGGCCACGGAGGAGACAAGGGAGCAAGGAGCCAAGGCAGAGCCGATGGGTCAGAGGACCGAGGTGGAGTCTGGGAATCAAAGGCTGGAGGCGGAGACAGGGGATTCTCACTCCAAGGCAGAGCTGGAGACTGGAAGGCCCGAGGCAAATCAGAGCACCTGGATGGCGCTGAGGGACTGACAGGAACCAGCGGAGACGGGGCTGAGGAACTGGCTGGTTTTAGGAGAGAAGGCAGGAGAGGAGGTGGGAGAGGGAGGCTGGGTGGGAACTCGGGAGACACAGGAAGCTCAGGAGACGCAGGAGATTCAGGGCTGGGCGGAACCATTGGAGACTCAGGAGACATAGGAAACTCAGGGGAATTGGGTATTACCTCCCCAAACCAGTCAATTAAATCCACAATAAAGATGTCCATCAGTTCCAGTTTAGCTGTGTGGAGTTCTGATCATATGCGCATACAGAAAATTCGGATCTGATTTGATATTTGGATGCATTAAAATATTTGAACTTCTGCGGTTAGGAATGCGACCGCCCGACCGGATGTGATGTATTCTAATCAAAACTATGAGCGCGAGGTCAGAATTACCAATATTTTCCCACTATTTTAACATTATTCTGTAAACACTACAGTATTTCTATAAAATGGCGCTTTAGAATAATTATGGCAGAAATAATTATTTTATAATTATTAAATCATTATGTACATTGATTAGCCCCATAAAACCTACTATGCTTTATTTAGGGGGTCATTTGTTTTGTCTGGATAAATTCATACATTCATTATATTAAGTAAAATCATTAATTTTGCCATGGTGAATGAGCCGAAGGGAATGTTTGCTTCACGACCAGTTTGAAAGTTCTGTGTGACTGCATTTTCACTTTCTCGACATTTGGATACAATTGTTACCATGGTTACCCACTACACAAAGCAGCGCTGCTGCTAAAAAATAAGGTGGATACATATCTATGCTTGCAGCGCTGCTTTGTGTAGTAGGTAACCATGGTAACTGCTATTTGTCAGAGAATGAACTTTCATTTTTATTCAGCCCGTCTGCTAATTTTGTTCAGATCAATGCGAAAATAGGAGAAATGCGACAATTGTATCCAAAAAAGAAAAGTGAAAATGCCAACTTGTATTCGATGCCAACTTGTATCCGATGCACATTTTTTAAAATTGATGCATCGCATCATTAACTTTTATACCGATGCACCGATGCAAATCGGTAAATATATATCTATATTTGCAATAGACTTCAGCAGATGATTTTACTAAACTAACACAATACAACAAGACGTAGCCGTTAGCTAACATAACATTTAAAAGGTACAGTTTAAAAACCTGTAATATTGAGTTAATACATATTAAAAAATACCACACACATTCTTACCTGTGAAAGTTTATCCGATTTCTTCAGGAATTTATATTTTGGCAGTTTTGAAACCAAGAGGCTGATGTAATGGCAATGTTGTCTTGGCATCGTGAAACTCATTTTTATAGTGAGTGACAATGACACATTGACTGTTCCAAGATTGCGGTCGAATATGGAATCTACCTATCCACCTTATTTTTCAATGCGGAAGCACTCGTTTTCTGTGAATGTGCGAGACTTCCGCTTCATTAGCCGCTGTAGGGAAATAACGAGAAGAATAATAAAGTGCAGTAAACGGTAAAACTGCACTACAAACCACTGTGTTCATAATTAAGACAATACATTAAAATATTATGGTAAGACACATCAGTTTGTAATATCAAGCTGTAAACGAGCTGTTTTGTACAGGTAAATAGCTGGAAGCGAATGACACTGGAAGCCAGACTTATTAAATTTACAAATGGAAATTTGCCCACTCTTACAGGAAAAATAAGGTGGATACATATCTATGCTTAAAGCGCTCCTTTGTGTAGTGGGTAACCATGGTAACTGCTGTATTTGTCAGAGAATGAACATCTGTCAGAGAATGAACTTGCATTTTTATTCAGCCCGTCTGCTGATTTTGTTCAGGTCAATGCGAAAATCAGACTGCAATTTTACATAGCAAACACACCGTGCTGTCAAATTTATCTGGTTGCTAATATGAATATATGTATAAATTTATAAATAAGCTAATATGCATTCTAAAAATCTAAACAATTCAGATAATAAGGTATATAGAATTATTCACATATTTTGAACAAGTGCCCACGATAACACCATTGTTACACTGGCACAGGATCTTCAAAGTGCTCACGAAACGCCAAATTAAATCGACAAAACACGATGAAACCACCATTTCAACAACATCTTTTCGAAATTCATCACTTGCCCTTATCTGGCTGAATTTCCTTCCTATTTTTCCCCTTCTCTGCACCAGATTGCACCGGAGGTGGAGTCTTGCGTAGTTTGCGGGGCCCTATGCAACTTACGTAGTGAGTGTATAGGGCCACTCGGCTCTGACTTGCATATTGTAGCGTTAACGAAACCGTGCATTGTAATGTTCGAAGTGGATGTCATAACAAATCTCAGTAGACCAGGAAGATTTTAAAACGAGCGGTTCATTCATAAATTCGTACAACCTTACCTTCATCCAATGGAAATTCAAACGAAAGGCAGAAGACAACAAAAGCAGTGCTAAAAAGGGGCGGGGCTACATAAGGTCACACAACTTTTTTTTATTTTTTTTATTAATACTTTCCTTCTGCAATAATGCATTAAACTGGTTAAAAACAGTAAACAATTGTAAACCATTAAAACCTGTTCTTAAGCGGTTCATTCATAAATTCGTACAACCTTACCTTCATCCAATGGAAATTCAAACGAAAGGCAGAAGACAACAAAAGCAGTGCTAAAAAGGGGCGGGGCTACATAAGGTCACACAACTTTTTTTAATTTTTTTTATTAATACTTTCCTTCTGCAATAATGCATTAAACTGGTTAAAAACAGTAAACAATTGTAAACCATTAAAACCTGTTCTTTCTATTCATTATTCCTAAAAAAAAAAGTATCACGATTTCCACAAAAATATCAAGCAGCACAACTGTTTTCTACATTGATAATAGTAAGAAAAGTTTCTTGAGCACTTTTCTGAAGGATCATGTGACATTGAAGACTGGAGTCTTGGCTGCTAAAAATTCAGTTTTACATCACATTAATAAATAACTTTTTAAAATATATTCAAATAGATATAAAAAGTTTTTATATTGTAAATATTACTGTTTTTACTGTATTTTGGATCAAATAAATGCAGCCTTAGTGAGCATAAGAGACTTCTTTCAAAAACATTAATAAAAAAGCCCTAAACTTTTGAATGTTAATTTTTTAGGCTTAATAGACATTTGAAACCAAGACATAAAGTAATGAAATAATGCATGCTCTGTATAATGACAAAGTTTAAGGCTGCCAAGATTGTTTTTAAATAAAGTTATGAAATCATGTATTTTAAAAATGCATGCTCTGTAAAGTCCATGGCAAAGTTTAATGCACTGATGCAGCATCAAACCAGCTTAGCTTCTGTAAACAGTATTACATCTACTGTCATTGTGTATTTACACAGACTTTGCAGCAGACTCAGAGCAGCCTTAATTCAGCTGTATAGAGACGCCTTAAATGATGCTGAGAGCACCATCATCATCCTCCTCATCATCTCGTGCTGATCTCTGGGCAGAAGGGGGTGTGTTCTCATCACAGCACTGGAAATCCCCCCATTAGTCACATAAAAGCGACCCGAACGCCAGTTCTACATCATATTGACTCTCGATCCTGAGCCGAACGAGGAATTTAAACTATGTAGGCACGGTGGACAGGGTTTAAATGGGCAATCTGATGGGCAGCTGGAGATATAAGGAGCCGAGCACAGTGGAAGAATGCGACTCGACGTGGGAAACGGACTCGGAGAGCGACGAGCTTCAGCCGGGAGGAGAGGAGGAGGACAGCGGCATCTCCGAATCCATGAGCCCGGCGGATGCAGTCAGAGGAGCCGAACAGCTGGATCACGGATCACCGAAGGTACCTCATCATACACCAGCACTGAAAGATAACAAAGAAGAGACAATAACCATGAAAACGGTCATTATATGCGCATTTGTAGGAATTGTAAGCATAGAGTCAGTTGCACCAAAGAAGACAGCGTGTAGTAACTAATGATTGTGGTGTTGATATTTAAATCTGTGTAAATCCATGTGGAATAAGCACGCGTGTTGTGCTCGCCTAAAGCGTGGGCAATGTCAACCAATCATCATCATGTAAGTATTATTAAAATAGCGATGTACAGCTGTAAAGAACACGGCGCTAAACTGAAAATTGCACATTTAGGGTAAAACATTAGCTAAATACCGAGCACATTTCCAGCAGAGTCGCACTTGCGATGGGCTCTAGTCAGTTTTCTTCCGTTTTCTGCATGACGCTTAAATACCTCATAGTTTTAATAACTGGATGCAGGCTTTGTGACATTGTTATTCATATCTAATTCTACTACTAATAAAAAAACAATAAAAGTATATTTTATATTTAAAAAAATAGCTATTTGACCCATATTTGAAGAACCATCTATGACCTTTCACCTTTGGCTTTTCAGCATGTTCTGTAGCTTTAAGTAACACTAGTTTATTTATTTATCGGTCTACATAATTTTGTTTATACATTTTCATCCCAACATTTAGTCCCTCACACATATGATGGGGTATAATGGGCATCCCATGTAAAAGGCCCCTTATAATTTTATTTGTGAAATACACAGCTGAAAGTGTAGCTCTGAGATACACACCATTCATTAATAGAAAAAGAATGCAGACATTATTATAATATACATGATATAATATGAAATGCCAAAAATGTTTAAAATTAACCAAGAAAAGGGGCACTCTTTGTCAGTGTTGTATCTAAGAGTTAACTTTTCTTAGGGCAATAGGAGGGTTGAAGCATTGTATCTTTGGCCTTGTTAGATGTCATTTGTTTTAAAATGGCTCATGTTCTCTCTAGGTTTCTGGATTTTAAGGCCACTGAGACTGTGACCTGTCCAATGTCACCTATTTCCTCATGGGAAATTTGCTCTGTTGAATTTCCTATCAGCATTAATTTGAAGCTTAGATTTTGATAACAGCTTTTCACACTCACCATTATAGTTTTGTTTTTGTGAGCCCTCCATCAAAGACTGTTATATTATTTAATACAAAATTATATAAGTACATTTAATGTTATTAATTAATAAGCTTCATATGCCTTTCATTATGTCATTGGCCCCAACTAGCAAACGGCGTCATGTTGTGTGTAAGAGTGCAAGTCTTCTGTGCTGTGCTTTCACTCAACCGTAAAGGTGTTCAGTGTTTGAACATCTCAAGAGGCTGAGAGCTAAACATGGTCATGAATTAGTTAGAGAAAAAGAAAATAGTCTACAAAATGGAGCTCTTCTCTCTAGTCTAACAGCTTTTGCATCCCAATAGGGAAGAGCAGTGACAATGTAGCTCAGATGCTGATGAGTGAAGTCATTCATACACTCTTTCACTGCCTATGTAACCATTCCACTCCTCTCTCTCTTTTCCTCTCACAGTTTGGTGACATGATGGAGTCCTCTACTAGGATGAAAAGGAGCTTTTATGCCGCAAAGGACTTGTACAAGTATCGGCACAGTTATCCGGTAAAGAGTTACGTCTACTCTCTTCAGATTTCAGACAGAGCTCGAAGGCCGATCATCTTTGAATATCAAATTTGCAGGAAATATTGCAGTATAGTCATCAGAAAACATAGTAGAGGCCAGATATACAGGATTTTTCCTCTCTCTCTCTCTCTATCCTTCTGTCATGGTTTTAATCTGTGATTCTGTTGCTCAGAACTACAAGGAGCCTCGTCGTCCGAACGAATATCGCAATCTGAGGTTCTATTTGAATAAGATCCCCCTGGTGCCGGATGGTGAGTTTGCTTTTTCGTTTGAATGACTTTCTTTTGTCTTTTCATACTGTTTCCTGTATTCTTCAATAATGACGTAATATTATTGCTGTTCTTTCCAGGACAGCATTGTATGGGGGTCAAAATGTTTGCCAAACAAATCTGTTTTATTGTTTTTAAATCACTATTATATTAAAGGAACGTCCTCCCTGGAAGTCCCTTGATTCTCATAATGACACTGTGCCTTAATTGTTACGGAACTTTTTTTCACAGTAATAACAAAGCCATTTCAGGAACAGAAGCATTGGCGCAAATAATGATCTGGGCTGGTAATCCAATAAGATTCAAACATGGTTTACACAGATGATCCATGAGCCGGAGAGTCATTTTAGAAACATTTTACCCTTGTTTAAAACACTTCAAGTAATAGTACCCAAAAATGAAAATTTTGTCATTATTTCTGTCATTATTTAAAATTTGTGTGCTGTTATTTTTTCTGTGGGATACTAAATAAATTTAGAAGAATGTACATGTTCCTCTTTTTGGGTGAACAAATCATTATTTCGAGCTTTTTTGAAATAATTTGTTTAGATTCTTAAATTGAGAGCTTGCTGGATTGGCTGATAAATAACCTAAAAGTTAAAAAAATATTTTTATACTTTCATACAGCATTTGTCTTTATTCTAGGTTCTCAGCGTTTCTCTTTTTTTATGGAAAAGAGGAGTTTCTACATTAAAATGTATCCTTCTGTATTCTGTATCCGTGGAAAAAATAATACATGAGGGTGAGTAAATAATGACTGATTTTCGTTTTTGATTGAACTATTGCTTTGTTGCATTAGACATGTTCTGAAAATTGCTTTGGATTAAGCAATTAATTACAATACACAAAGACATGAACATACTTACTGCAAGAACATTTATACCCAAATGAACATAAAACAGTTTTTACAACCGAATACACATGCCAGCTGGTGTGAGGGAAGAACATGGGTTGTGGAGTGCTTCATTAGCTGAATGTTTTCCCTGCGGGGCCAGTTTGGGCAGGCAGATAGTGAAGACATCTCAGAGGAGCCATTGATTGGTTATTGTGGGCATGTTTGAGAATTAACTGGATCTGTTGTGCAAGCATTTAATGGCAGCATAACTGCTTCACTGCTGTTTAGGCAGAAGGACACACACACACACACACACACACATACACTGCTGTGCTCTGTGTCCTCCTGAGATCTCCGTGTTTCCATGTCTGGGATGACCTATGTTTGCGCTCTGATCTGAAACAACACGCTGTCCTATCTTGTCTCATATGTGAATGAACCATTATTTTTAATCAAATCTTTTAAATGAATCATTTGATCTGGTACACATTGGTCTGAATGATTTGTTCACAGTTATGACTGTTCAACTCAGTGATCAGGCCCTAGTAATTCTCAGCTTGATAGCTCACTGGAAGAAAAAATGATGAAATTACAACTTAAATTTTGGTCTGTTAATTGTAAGAAGTCTTATGGAATACAGTTATGATACATTTATGGTGCTTTTGCTTTCTTTTTAAGGCTTGAATGTTCCATGGAAGAAATAAAGTCATAGGCTTTTGAGTAAATCTTGAGAGAATTTTCATTTTTTGGTGAACCGTCCTGTTTAATAGAGTTTTAAGTGGCTAATGCTGAGCTTGGCCTGGTGTGATGATTTATTATTTTTCTCTCTGTCCCCGCAGGTATTTATATTGAAGAAATCCTCACTAAATGGAGGGGCGACTATGAAAAATTAGAGCACAATCACACATACATTCAGTGGTAAGATATTTCTTCAATATTCCAGCTTCTATAAGAGCAAATAAAGCGCCTAGTAATTGCTTAATAATGCTTAATAACTGAGACCAGCCACTTATTATATTATTATTATTGTTTGTTCAAAGAACAGAGAAAGTTGCATGCTAATATGTGCATGAGGGATTTTTGAACGGCAAGACATGGATTAAATATGCTTTTCTTTACCATCTGTTCAAAACAAAATTCTGTAGATCAAGGCAAAATCAAACAAGGGCATGAGCGGATAAAGGCAGATATAAAGACAAAATCAGCACAACTGTGGTACCTGCAGGTGAAGGGGTCAATAACATCCTTTTTGCTGACAAAAGATGGCCTTAGGACTACATTAGATAAAAGTTTCTTTAATGTTTAACGTTGCTTAAATATTAATAGACCGCTTTGGCTGACATCCTCTCTTTAGTAACTGAAGAAGCTTTGGGGAATGTCTATGACTTGAGGGCATTTCCTGATTAAATTGTCCATTTTCCTAGCATTGCAAAGATGCAAACGATAAAGACTTTATCTTAATGGCAGAAAATAAGTTATATGAATGGATGTAAGCTTTTCTAAGAATTTGAGATTAAATCAAGCATGATTAATTAAACATAATACAGGCACTATAGTAAAACAGCATCCAGCTGCTTTCCTGCTTTTCGAAATTCATACACCTTTTGTAGTATATTTTGAGAAATGAAAAGGCATATTTCATATTTGTAACAGAAGACTGAGAGAAATACTCAGCATCTCTTTCAGATTTCTGATGATGATTATATCGTTCATATAATAAAAGAGGAACTTGTTCAAGGTCAACTGGAGAAAAATACTGAACAATAACATCACCAGTAATGTAACTAATAGGTGAAATGAGTCCTATTCAGATTGCAGTTGGTGCATAAGATAAGGTCTAATGTGAGAATCTTTGAAGGACAATATGTGTCTCCTGCTTTTGCTTCATGCTACTATTGGCTAGACAAGTAAAAAGCATTTCCTTTTGGCCTTATCGGCCCTTTAAACAGAGCTGTAGGCCTAAAACCTGGAAGAGAATTAGCATTTTGAGCCATGGCTTTCCTCAAAAATTTCGAATGGGTTTTCGCAGTAAAAGAAGAATGATAACTTTACTTTTAAGAGACTTTCACATTATGTCACCTTCAATATTCACGCTTGAGGTATAAATGTGTGTAATTTCTATTGTAGAACATGACATGAAAGTCTTCTCAAATAATGTTAACCACAGACCTTTTTCTTCTCAGTCAAAAAAAAAAACTGTAAAAATGAGACTTTCGGGTTGGCCTACAAACCGACATCATGCTTTTTTATTTCATGCTTTAGTCATCCTCTTTTTTTTAACCTCTTATTCATTTTGAAAATAAATATTATACAATAACTATGTCACCAAGGAAGAAACAGTAATGAATGAATCTGCTGGCAATGTAACATTCAGCGAATGTTGAAGGTTGTACAGAGGTTAAAAAGTGGTTTTACATCATGTGCTCTTGTAAAGTTCTCAGTAGGGTGCCGTTACCTCACACACTCCCAGAGCTGAAGCTCCTGTTCATTCCTGCCTGTGCTGTTATTATGAGCGTTGACGGTGAGGAAGAGGGGGAGGACATGATGCCCCAAGCCTGCGTGAAATAACAACACAATTTTAAAATCAGGCTTCACGCATATGCTGCCAATCGTACCTCGGCACCCCCACCTGCCGAGGAAAAAGAGATTAGCTTCTCTCATTCCCCCTACTCATTTTTTTCACACTCCGTATGCTTGCAGGGCTATTTGCATAATATCAATTAGCGAATGTTAAAACACAAGTGAGTGCAAGCAAGACAGATCGCTAGCATTTTCCCTAAGTAAATTAAGATGAGGTGACAGCAAAAGCTTGCCAGCCAGAACTTCGTGGCTTCAGAGAAAAAAGAGAAACGAGAGAAGAAGGGGAAGAAAGATGTGCCAAGGTGTGCGGGTTGTCCTTTGCCAGTGGTCAGCAACATGTAGGATCAAACAGCTGACAGGGAGAAATTTATCCTTTATTGCATTTTATGTGTGTGTGTGACTGTGTGTGTGTCTTTTCTCTCTCCCTAGTCCTCTTCGCCATATCCTAGTGATGGTCACTTTTGCCTGTTCCAGCATGATTTATTTGTGGTGCTAATTAAATCATCATGATTTATTGTCTTAAATCATTCATTATGTTATATACACTCTTACTGTTATTCATTTTCATTTAATGTTTTATGAATACGGGTATGATATGGGTTTGTCAATGTCCAGTGCCAGTACTGATAACTAGGGAACTTGATATGGTTGATATACAGCATATGATATAGGCTAATACAATTTAATTATAGTAAATAACTATATTCCTGTAGTTCAAACAGTAGAGCAACTTCAAGGACATGGGTTTGATTCCTAGGTAATGCGTTGAAATGCATACCTTCAATGCAAAGCTCTTTGGATAAATGTGTAATATATATATATATATATATATATATATATATATAGGAGATGTACACAGATATGTTGAAATGAATCATTTCTAAATGATTCGCAAAAGTTACTCAAAATAAACCTAACCCAAAATATGATGTGTTTAAAAATGTTTATCCAGCATTATCAGTCTGTCTCTAATTGATAAATAATGATACATTCAGAGCTAGATCCTAACATGTTTCTTTGCTGCTGTTACAGGCTCTTCCCACTCAGAGAACAAGGCCTAAATTTTTATGCTCATGAACTCACTCAGGATGAGATAAAGGTATGCTGCTAAAGTCAAACACGAAAGAACAGTCAAGACATGTATACTCTTTAAAATAAAGGTTCTTCTGTGGTTCTTCATAGCAAAGAACTTTCTTCTTTTTATTTATTTATTTATTTATTGCTGTATAAGGTCTTTATGGTTCCCTGGATGCGATAAAAAAAGTGCTTTAAATAAGTGTTTTGATTTTGGGGTCTTTAAAGGTTGGTTAATATAAAAATAACTAGAGCATAAAATATTTTTATGAAACTCCAAATATATTAGGCTGTAAACCCCTTTGGTTCTAATTGGAACCTTTATTTTTAATAGTGTAATATCACCTACAGTAGTCAGGGGTGCCAGAACATCCATAAATAGGTTTTAGGAAGTGGCACATTTGTGCCAAAACACATGTGTTTTTAGTCTCATCCTGCCTCTGTTTTATTCAGTCAATCAAAATAACCTTTTGTAGTCACTGTGCAGATCAGCTTTAAACCAGGTGAGTTTTTGTTTTCAACAGGAATTCCAAAGCACTCGAGAAGCCAAGAGACGTTTCCTCCTAGCATATACAATCATGTTGGATTTCTTTGGAATCAAGCTCCTGGATAAAAACGGGAATGTGGCTCGGGCCACAAACTGGCAAGATCGCTTCCAGCACCTGAATGAGTGAGTTGTCTTTCTGGTTTTCTGTTGTTTTTAAAGTATTTTCTACTCTATAATTTCTTTCTTCTTACCGTTATGTTCTACTCCACCTGCACCAGTTATCTTCACATTCCATGACAATCTCAACTCTTAGTCTCCTGTCTCCTGCCATATTTAGCATGCTTCAGTCTAGGGAGTTCTTATTCTCCTATCTCTGCAACACAATTTCACAGTCATGACCCTGACTGCACCGTCATGTGATCGTCTTATGCAGGGGCCAGAGAAATGGGTCAGACGCACAGAGGAGGCTGAACAGAGAAGAACATAATAGGATACAAAAACTTTTGCATTTAGTGAAATGGTGATTAAGATCGGGGAAAAAATTTAGAAAAGGAGAATTGCAAACGAGTTTGATGAACGTACGATAAGCAAGGAGGGAGCGAAATAAAATCCGCAGTGCAGGGGGCTGAGTAGTAGACATAGATGACTGTGCGTGTCTGTCTGTGTATCATTGCCCCAGGACTGTGCCATAGAGGACACACTTACATTACATTGCAGATATACACTGCTTGATGAACTTTGTCTGCAGTGTGAATGGGCCTATACAAAACGCTGTCATTTTGAGTGCACTGAGAGTATTCCTCTCTTACAATGGGCAAAAATTACTTCTTGATGAGTTTTTGTTTAGTCTTTTTGGCTTGTTTTCCAGTAAAAAATGTCTAATTGACACTGCAAAGGTGGCACAGAAGCGCTTCTGAAGTGGCATTTAGGTGTCTTTACACAGACTGTTTAATGAAAATACACAGGTGTGTACTTTGATACTAGGGACTGAAGTGTGTCTGAGCAGGCATAATTTAGTCTAGCTTTTATGCAGCTTTGCATCCTCACAATGAATTTTGAGCAGGCACAGAGCAACCTTAACGAGGCCATGCAAAGATGCATTAACAATCCTTGAAACAAGATAAATTCACTTGAGAAGCAACACTGATATTTAGGCCTGTTTTCAAATAATGTATTTTAAATGTACGTTGTTTTGGTTATACTGCAAATTTTTTTTAACTTGTTTTGAACTTAAACTTATAAGATAAAAATCCACTCATATTGAAGATACATTTTGTTAAAATTAGTTTATTATTATTTTCAATTTGTACAAATTCTAACTAAGTTTAGCCAAATAAATAATCAAATAAATTTCAGTATCCCAAAGTTCACTGGTACTGTGACCCATTCATTCATCACAAAATAATCTGGAGGTTCCCTTTCATGGGAACTTCGAACTGCGTCCTCTAGGGGTCGCTATGGGGAACGCCTCGTCGTGACCCGTGTCTGAAGCATACATTGAAAAAACACCAACTCGTTGGCCGGCGACAGCCATGACGTCACTACCGGTGCGACTCCAGTATAAATCGGCGCCGGGAGCTACACATCATTCTCTTCTTCGTCTTCATTGACTGTTCTGTTTGAAGCGTGCATTTTCAAGGAAAAAGTAAGAGCTATCTATTTATTATGGCGAGCACTAGTAGAGCATTTAGAAGGTGTGTGCATCCGTGGCAGCGCTATTTGACACCAGATGATTGGTACTGTGACCCATTCATTCATCACAAAATAATCTGGAGGTTTCTTAATATGTGAAACTAGACCTCATAAATAAATACAGTATATTGTTTGTTTTATTAATTTGTTTCTTTTCTGTTAAGCAAGTTGATTATTGTTACAACTAAAGGGCATTGCAGTATGCAATATAGCATGGCCTTGAATGCCTTTTGTATAATGATTTGTATAAGGGTATTGATAACAATATAAAACATGACTTCAAAGAAATATAATTCATTAAGTGCCTTTTGTCAAATTAGAAGCATAAGATGGTTTACACTGGTATTCGCTAAGCTGGTAGAAAAGTACAACCCCAAAAATGCCAATGAACCAAACTTTGTTTTATATATGTAACTATAGTATATTGCTTAGACCCTTCCTTACAAAGTTAATTTATCAAAAATAAAATGTTCTCCCTTGTCAACAACCAATACTTTAATTGAAAATGTTGGCCATTGTCTGAAACCTATGACCTCCTTTCCTTCCAGGTCGCAGCACAATTACCTGCGTATTACTCGCATTCTGAAGAGTCTTGGTGAGCTGGGCTTTGAAAGCTTCAAGTTGCCTCTGGTGCATCTGCTGTTGGAGGAGGCGCTGGTGGAGGGCACTTTACCCAACATGCGTCACAGCGCACTGGAATACTTCATCTACACACTGCGCCAACACAGTCAGAGACGCGCCCTGCTCCGCTTCGCCCAGCGCCACTACCAGCCACCCGAGAACTTCATCTGGGGGCCACCCAAGAAGAAGCGCATTCCGGCCTTTGGATCCACAGGGATGAAGTCAGGAAAAAATGAGGTGGTGGAGAAGAGTGTGGGCAAAGCCAGGTCACCCAGGGAGGGCAGAAATAACTTGGAGAGAGAGGCAGACGACATTGATGATAGGAAGAGTGGAGAGTGGAAAACAGTGAAAGGGTCCAAGGTCCTGCAGGAGGGCAGGGGAAGGGTAGATCTAGAAGAATGCATTGAGACCATTCCTCTGTAAGAAAGAGAGGGATTCTGGGAATTCTCAGAGTATAGCTTAAGATGATCTTAAAGTTAGGTAAAAGAATAGCACAGCAATATTCCATACTATTGCCTTTTAGGGACTTGCTTTGTGAACAACTTGACTGTTTGCCTTTTTTTTTATATGAGGTGTTTTTCTTAACTCTGAATACTTTTCAATGTGTTAGCAGGTAAATTTCTCTACTGTAATTCTTACTTGCAGCCCTCTGGAGAGTTCTTAGCACATGTACAAGTGTGAGTATATATAAGTGCTACCTGAGCACATTGTTTGTGTGAAATATTGCACTTTTTGACTATTCAGTCTTCCCCTGTTTGAGAACATTATCTTAGTGTACAGGCTTTATTTGCTAATCATAAGCCCGTCTCTCAGACAGATGTGTCTTCTTTTCCGTGTTCAGAGCTTGCTGATTATTCGGATAGCCTACTCGTAGCTCCTTGTATAAGACCATAATAATAATAATGTGTAGTAAGTGTTAATATACTTGCAGGAATTTTCAGGTAATTGATCTTCCATGTTTCTATAGGTACGTGTGAGATCTTAATCCAGTTTTCTCGAATACGTCTTGCAATATGAAGTGCCTCTTCTTTCGTTTGTTAAAGCATACAGTGGGGAAAAAAAGTATTTAGTCAGCCACCAATTGTGCAAGTTCTCCCACTTAAAAAGATGAGAGAGGCGTGCTTTATCATTTCGAGTCGGAAATCGTGCAGTAAGCCGTTTGTTGAGACAAGCAATTATAAGCTAAACAAACTTGAATTCAGACTATTTTGTGTTTTGTTATTTTTTGATTAAACAAAGCCTTAGCTCTAATTTTTAATGGAAATAAATGCCGTATACTCTACTAAATGTGGTGTGACAGCAACCGCCTCAGTTTACAGGTGCATCTCAATAAATTAGAATGTCGTGGAAAAGTTCATTTATTTCAGTAATTCAACTCAAATTGTGAAACTCGTGTATTAAATAAATTCAATGCACACAGACTGAAGTAGTTTAAGTCTTTGGTTCTTTTAATTGTGATGATTTTGGCTC